TTACTAAACAACTAGGTTACTTTTAAAGGATGACTGTTAAATGGGAAATTACTTTGCAAAAATTTATGGTGATTTATGCTAGTGACTGCAACAGGTAGGTGTAAAGCAAAGCCATTCATGCAGTCAATAACCTGAGTACTTCAAGTCCGGTGCAAAAAAGCATGATCGCATGGGTCCGCCCGGTGCGTTCCAGCCTGGTCTTGTATCCTCACGTGAATCCCAGGCAGTTCTAAGGAGCCAATTTTGAAGTCTTTTGGTTGTACATGAGTATTAAATATTCTCCTAAAGTTTCAAGTTTCTAACTTTTCTCGTTCCCGAGTTAGCATTTTCCCGCTAAAATTTTCAGACGCCCGTACGTGAGTGTCGAGCAATCCCAAGGAGCTGAGTTTGAAGTCTATTAGTCATATATGGTTAGACAACATTCCTGTAAACTTTCAGCTTTCTAGCTTTTCTTGTTTTCGAGTTAGCATTTTTTCCATCAAAACTTTCACGTGTCCATACATGATACGTAGACGTGCGTGACAGTAGATGTCACGTCTCTCGGGTGGCACATGGCCAGGAAACACGCTGGCAAAATTTCAGCATCAAAGCCTATGTGGTTGGCGAGTAGAAATATCCGGACACACGAACACACGCACGCACACAAACACACACACATACCTACATATGCAGACAGGGTCGTCGCATTATGTGTTCTTGATGCCTGTTGCAGCGCTCTAGCGCTGTACGGCAAAAACGCTATTAAGCGTCTGAAGTTTTCTCGCAAATGGTGTATATCAGGATAGACGTGACAGGGTTCAGGAAGTGGAGCCCACTTAGAGGAGAGGAGCTGGACACACGCAAGCTGACCGGCAAGTGACCCTTGGCTAAGTGACCTAGGCCTAGGCTTGGTAACAAATACTGGACCAGAGCAATCGAAATTGAGTGAATTAGATTCAGTTTGAGTTTAGATCAATCAAGCTCAGGCCCAGAACAGATTACCCCAGGTAAATTTGCAGGAGTTTAGGCCGAGGCAAATTTAATCCGAATTCAGACCCAGACAAGCTGAACTAATTTTAGGCTCAACAAGTCGACTCAAACTTAGTTTCGAACTGCCCAGAGCTTCGGCTGAAACAAATTAACTCAGGCTTACACTCGGGTAAAATTAATTGAATTTAATCTTCTTTAATCATGGATTTGATTTATCCAAACATACATGGACGCATTTACGCAAATATCAAAGTTGTATAAATACAGACATACATACATTGCACAAAATTTTCATTATTTTCCTGTTCAACTGTATTAGTTTCAGGACAACTTTTTTCTGCAGGAAGTCGTCCATAAGTTTTTTTTTTTTAAAAATTCCCATTTGTTTTCATTTTCTGTTAAAAAATAATCAATAAGATGTTGATGCGACTACAGAGCGGTAAAGTGATGCGCCTAGAGAAAATAAGTTTGTATTGTGGGTTTTTTCCCATGACATCAATTCAGAAACTTGATCTCATCAACAATGAAAAAAGGTGCGCTGTACGTACGTTCATTTATCTGCTATGCATGCGAAAACGATCGGAGGAGGCGCAAAAACCAGTCACAACAATTCACTCTCCGAAACAAAAGAGACATTTTTGGGGAGGTGCAGGAAGGGGAAGAGGCGACGATCGGCTCATAAAATTGTTGCGTTTTTGCGGTAAATCCGGAAACAAGTCTTCTTTCAACAACTATTCGGCCTGTTGTTTGGCCATGTTGATTATGTCTACGCACTGAGATTTATTGCACACAACCCCAGATTGGCGTTTTGATGTCCACACCTTTCCAAGATAAAGTATGGAATTTTCCGGGACTTCGAAAAAAATATTTTGCCAGTCTTTTTGAAAAGGATTTTCTTTGTGTTACTGCAGCAACATTAATTGTTACTACTCGGTTCTAAGGTCGTGGTCCGGTTGTAGTATTGAACGGGAATGTGTATGAATTTATGTTTAGAAATATTCTTGTTCAGCTAATTTTTTTAATATAATTTTATACGCATAATATTAGGCATATGCATACTTATATATACTTGATATAATTTTGTGTAATATCGAAGGCATATTTAGTATAATTATATGTGGTACCAAAGACATATTCGATACAATTATATATAACATTAAATACATACATGTTTATATATTTATATACATTTAAAATCATGTTAAAAAATTAGATGGACAGGAATATTTCGACTTATGAAGTATATATCATGACCAATTCTTCTATTTTCTTTGTTCAAACTTCGTACTGCTCATGCCTAGGACTGGATTTTGACGACGATGATAGAATTTTGAATAATTTGATCAAATGCAATTCATACTCTGTTTTGCCAACAACTTTTCCATTTAGTTTGATCAATGCCGCGTTGTCTAACGGTCAGCCCAAAGGCGTTTTTTCTCTTGAATAATTACTAGCTCATCGTAGGAGAAGCGCATGGCAAGACAAAGTATTAGCCGTTTCGATATTTCCTTGATGTTTGTTGAGCATCACCATCTCAGCATGAGCATTAGCATTTTCGTAACTTGTGGTACTTCATCAACTGGATTGGGATACCTCTCTAATGACGCGGTGATACCTTGTCGACAAGGAGAAGATAGTATTTAAAAACAGTGGACAGTTGCTGATAATTCTTAATTTCGAATTTTCTCAATCCTCTCCCGCCGTAAAAAGATTTTTTTCTATCCGGATTTATTTTACAGTGATTAAATGCGAATGTTGTGGAGATGGGAAAGAATAGGGGCAAGGGGGCAGTAACAGTGAGTAGAATTTAGTTTTTTGTCCGGACACTTGAAAGGGAATCTTCACCATGCACACTATGTGTTACATAACCTCGATTATTCATGACTCGTCTTTTTAGAAGTGTTCATTTTCAGTGAAATTAGGTTTTCTTTTCTGTGTACAATTTTCTATTGTCATTTCCAACCGATTTAATTTTTATCGTTCAGTGAATCTTGACAAAAAACCCCCAAAGGCAGTGCAAGTGGC